GGCGAAGGAGATTATCGTACCTCCTTCGTTTGATGTTGTTCCAGAAGAAATTCGGAATGAACCAAAGTTTAATCGTTACTTCAAGGTACGTTTTTCGTACATTTCCTTGCACCATTTGGTTAGTTTTGCTCATAATCTTGTCTAATGTATGTATTTAATTAAATGGCAGGGGTGTGTAGGCGCTATTGATGGCACCCATATTCATGCTACCGTACCTCAACATATGCAGCCACGATTTAGAGGTAGAAAAGGCACAACCACTCAGAACGTGATGTGTGTGTGTTCCTTTGATATGCGATTTACTTTTGCGTACGCTGGTTAGGAAGGATCAGCCAACGATTGTCGGGTGTTGTCGGCCGCACTTGACACACCTCACCTACAGTTTCCTCGACCACCTGCAGGTGCTACTTTGATATATAACGAGTATTTGTGTTTATGATTTTGCTAGGATTGCATTTCATGATCAATACATGAATACTTTGTTGTAGGTAAATACTACGCCGTCAATTCTAGTTATGCTTCAAGCCTAGGATTTTTAACACCATTTAAAGGTGAACGGTATCATATACCAGAATTTCGACAAAGTGGGGGACCAACAACAGCAAAGGAATTGTTCAACCACTGGCATTCTTCATTAAGGAATATCATTGAGAGATCCTTTACGGCTTTGAAGAATCGTTTTTTTTTGTTTTGAGACAAATGCCTCCATTTAAATTTGAAAAACAACCACATATTGTAATTGCATGTTGTGCTATCCATAACTATATCATTGAGCAAGACAGGATGGATAAGCATTTGTCCATATATGGAGGTCCGGATTATGTATGTGAACCTACTAAACAGGGTATAGACAATGTAGTAACGACCGAAGAGGGAACCGAGATGAACATTATCAGGAAACGTATTGCTAATAAAATGGCTAGGGATAATCATATGCTGGAGATTCCATGAAATTCGATTTTTCACTATTGTATTGTACTTCCATTATTATTATTCGAGGATTATTTGCTTTTTTTTCCTTTTGTAATATAATGTTGTATTGTAGGATTCGTATTATGTGTAATTGAGGATTTGGTACCCGGTCTTCTTGTAATGACATGTTATTTTGGAATTTTTGTTTTTTTTTATTTTTTATGACCGAGGATCCGCCCGTACGGCCCCACCGGCCGACAGCCGGATAGAACCAACAGCGACTATACCTCGGGGGGAGCTAGCCCAGGACCCCACCACCAGGGCCCCCCACTTAAGACGCTAGCGACCGGAGATTTGAACTCCTCACCTCTGCGATGAGGAAGAGGAGCCAAACCAACGCAGCCACCCACCGGTGGGTTGGAATTTCTGTTCTTTCTATTTGAGGATTTCAAAAAATGTACTAGATTTTAACTCAAATATCATGCATTGTAGGTTAAGATAAATAATATTTTGCAATTGAGTTTGGACTATCTTTGTTGCGGAAATAGAATTGACGCGCCGTTTTCAAATGTATTTCTCATCCAGAAGCAGAAATTTTCTCCTATTTTAGAAATCAATTTCTTGAGCAGAATTAGTCCTGTTTATCAAACAGATTTCTCCTCCATAAATCAATTTCTAGCAAGAATTCCAGAAATCAATTTCTGGCAAGAATTTGATTTATGGAGCAGAATGGTTATCATTCGCACCCTTAGTCTCTTCTCAAATCACTTCTGATCTGGCATAGAAGATAAACTAAAACATTTCCAAGCAAATAAGTTCATTTGAACTTAGACATTGCCAATGAGTCAATTATAATTTATCCGGTTTCCGTTGGAAGAAACAAGGTCAAGAAACTGCAACTATAAGATGACTCATCAGTAAATAATGTGTTTCCTTCCTTTGGCGGTATTGAGGATCAACCAACAACCTGAACAGTTCAAGTAGTTGGACATCATTGGATTCCATGGCTTCCCCAGACCCATCCTTGAAATGAGAAAAGGCCTTACTGTAATTGAAAGAATGTTGCTAACAAAATTGACAAGACTGCTGGTGACTTCTTTGAAAGCTCTCATATTTCATTGTGCATGTGACTTCTTTTATTTTGAAGAAACTACTACCTAGACTTGTTATACCAGAAACGTTTTCTCTTCTTCTTTGTAATAGGAGTCAGCCGCCATATTATTCATGAAACAAGTTTACATGGCAAATTTCAAATTATCATTTGCAAGGCAAGACCAACAAACAAAATTGCAGAGAATAGAAACGAGGGGGAAACTGGTAGAGAGGGAAAGGAGTTCTGGAAAAAATATTTAGACAGTCCGTGATGGGTAAAATTGAGAGATGAATGAAGGTGACCCTTGTTCACAACTGAATATAAGAGTGCTAGTGAAATCCAAGAAGCACTAAATTTCTCTGTCATCACCATTTGGAGCTCCCTGAGCACAAAAGTGCCGGTGCAAGTGCTGGCCTTCACCAAAGAAATAAATTACGAGATTTGAAAATTAGGATGAGTTTATTGATTCCTTCCAATTCCTGTTAATAAGGTCAAGTTTTACAAAATTCTGAAAGAAAGTAGTGCCATTCTAAAGGTTCTTCTACCACTATAAGAAGAAGAAGACGACCAATGCTGTAATAAGAAAAACTCAAAACCGTAAAAGCAGAAGTTTCAGTTCCATCAAACATTCTTCTGTTATGTTCCCGCATGATTAAGAATGACCATTTTGTACACCCACTGACACTTATTGCAATATCAACTAATACATGGCCGCACATCTACCGCTGGATGCAAGGAAAGCAGAGCAGATATGACCCAAGGAAGATCGGCAAGGATTTGCAAACCCAAAGGCTTAAGACACACTCAAAATATTTTCCTCCCAAATCAAGCAAACTACACTGGCCAAGCAAACAACTAGGAAGTTATGCCCGCAAGCTACAAGTTTCCTCCCGAATCAATGCTTAAAGAAACCTCTACAGTAGTGCAATTGAACGGAATTTGGAAAAAAATATAGAAACAAACAAACTCGGAGGCTGACACGAACCTTGCCCGGAGAGGAACTACGTCCGGCAAGAAGCAGCGCCGATCTTGCGGAGAGACGAGAGGATGAAGAGCCGAGGCGGCGAGCTCAAGAGGGTGCGTGTGCGGCGGCGCGTGAGCCCGAACGAAGACGAAGACAGAGGTTGTCGCTTGAAGCCTTGAAGCAAAGCCCACCTCCGTCACGGACGAGCCGGACCGCGGTTGATAAAGACAAAGGAAGAGCCGAGGCAGACGCCGAATGGAGCAAGGAGAGGGGAGAGGGTCTCGTCAAGTCGTGGGTGTGGGGAGTGGGAGAGAGAGCGCAATGGAGGAGCGACCGAGCCAGGGGAAATTTGGGAAGAAACTAAGAAAGTTAGGGTTTTTAGTAGGAGAGAGAGTGCGGTTCCAGTTCCGGGGTCGGTTCCCGGTTCCTAAAAAATTGGAACCGCGAATCGAAACCTCCCACCATAGAATCGAAAACCGAAGAACCGAACCCGCTGGTTCGGTTCTTCGGTTCCCGGTTCTACCCTAGAACCGTGCTCACCTTTATGATCGAGGATTAACAAGTTGGGAAATACAGAGATGTTCGTAATGACTTAGAGGCACGAAAATATGGTCGTTAGACGAATCTGGTTATGTGAACAAGCTTAGAACGAGTATATTCGGTAAAACTTTGAAGGACCATGAAGGTGAACAGCCTAGTAAAGTCATAATCGTTGATATGCTTTGAAGGATTAGAAGATCTGATGGTTATCATAAGCAACGGATCATTATCAGGAGCAGCAAATTGTTAGCAAGAGCAGCTGCCAATATTAGAGAGGTGGAAGACATGTGATAGCCTCTTTCCAATCTCAATCTAACAAAAGTACACTAACACCTGTCACGACTCGTCCCGATTAGAGGGATAAAAAATGATTGAATAAGTCAAGAGATATTTGTCGATGGATGTGAACATCGGTTTGTTTGTTCGAAGGACAAACCAAAAGGCTCATCTATCCAAGGACGGAGGCACTCCCAAGCCTTATACTTCGCGCGACAAGAATTGTTTAATCTATGCATTCAATTGGAGTCGCCACTAGCCATAATCAAGGGTTGGCTAAAAACCTTAATCGAAACGCGGGAATGTCGTTTCGATACATGCGAAAACTAGAGATTCTTAGGATTAGGGACTTGATTACACTAGTAATCTAACTAATGCCCTTTCGGTACTAAACTCAATCGCTTGCTAACTAACGCACCAGAATAGCCTATCGAGAAGCCTAAAGCTCGTCCTAATCATGCTAAAAATAAATAATAACAACCAATGTATTAAAGGTGCGCAACTAGATAATCGGCATGAAAATAAACAACCAACGACCTAATAACGTCTCTAAAAAAGAAAAGGCAATCAAAAGCCATAAAGTAAATTTTTTTAAAGGTTTTCTCAATTTTTTACAAATTTTAAGCTGAATCTAGAATGAAATTAACACTAAGATCTAATGAAATTAACCTAAAAACAAACTTATAAACACTTCCTAATTTTCTGAATTTTTTTTCGAAATTTTTCTGAATATTTTTAAATATTTTTTATATTTAACAAATAAAAAGAAGAATTGACCAGGTCCCCTTACCCGATCCGCCTGACTACCTAACCCAGCTCTCTGACCGCTCGGGACTCCCTTTCTATTTCCTTTCTAATTTTTTGTATTTCTTTTCATATTTTCGTCTTTTTTTCATTTCTTTTTCTCTCCCCCCTCTACTGTTCACCGTCTTCCTCACCGTGACTCTCCCCACGCCTCCAGCCGAGACCATGCCGTGACCACCTCTTCACCTCCAACCGTCGGCACGCATCGCCAATGCGGACGACCGCCATTGGGCTCACGCTCTCACTGCTGGCCATCGCATCCACCGAGCCGTCGACTAACTCCGGCCACAAAAAATTACACCGGCGACCGAACATCAATATTGACTTCCCCTTTTGTCTCCGAATCTCAAACGGATCTAAACTCTAAATCTACACACACATAAACACACAAAACAAGGATGGGAAACTGACTACGACGACTTCTATCCGCGGGCATCAATCCGGCGATGAAAAGCTTTCCGACGGGTGGGGAGTGCACACATGGCCGACTCGTACCGGAGTTAACATGCCACAAAATCACACGAAATCAAGGAGTCAATGACCAAAAATCAATCTCAAAACGAACAAAACATAAATCGAAGATTCTATAGATTGATTTCGTGTTTTTTCAGTTTCGGCCTTCACTCAGACATTTTATCAAACAGATGGCGCGCAAGTTCAAACAGGGGCTTAAGATTGAGATTTGCCGCGATTTTCGGCTCAAACATGAACTGTAAGGATCTAAACGGCCATGTCTCATCACAAGTTCATCTCAGTTTGCAAAGAAATGCTAAATAACTACACGACCAGATTCGACGTTTTAAGCTTTAAACAGTTTCGTTGAGACATTTTGTCAAACATGTGAGGTGCGGCCGAAAAATGAAGAGACGGGTTTGATTTTGACAAAACTCATGACCTATTCTCGGTGTGAAACATTTAAAAGTAGCTTCTTTGAGTGTCAAACGAACGTTATCCTCCATGGGCGGAGCTAGACAAGCACCGAACAGTTTCGGTGTGTCTGGCTCCCGAGAGGCGGGGGAAGGGGTCCAAAACAGAGCAAAATGAAAGCGTGGACCTACCAGGTTCGGGAACGGCACGGAATGGACGACGTTTTGACAAAGGATGCGAGTGGGCTGGACTCTTCACGGCGGCTAGAGCTCGGTCTCCGTGGTGATTTGGTCTTGATATAAACTATTCACAGAATCGAACGGTTCCGAAAGACGTCACCGGCGGTCGGAAACTGTGGCGTCCGGCGGCGGTGAAGAGGCGACCGGAAGGGGGAGGAGATTTGCCGGCGATCCTCCCGGAAAGAGGAACCGGAGCGCTTTCCTCTTCAAACCACCCCCCCCCCCCCCCCCCTCTTTTCCTCTGGGGGAATGTCCTTTCTGTCCTTCGAGCGACGCCCTCCTGCCAACTCGCCGATTCGTCCTTGTTGGCCGTTATGCTTCTCGTTTGTCTCTTCTGTGCTTGTCGTTTCCGCCTTTTGTTATCTCTGCGAGTGTCTCTGCTTGCTTCTGTGAACGAGCGTGAGGGAGAGGGAGAGGGAAAGCAAAAGAAAACTGAACGGGGGCTGGGCTGAAGAAGGGAAAAAGGTAAGTTGGGCTAGGAATAGGTGCAGGGCCCAGAAATGATAGGAAAAGGAAGAGGAAAGCTTGGGCCTAATTGGGAAAGAAAGAGGAGGGGCTCGGCTCGGTCGGGCCGGGAAGAACCGGCCCGGTCCTCCCTTTTCTTTTTTTAATAACTTGAGTATTTCACCTTGTTGTCCCCCTTTTACGCTATATTGGGCCATTTGTATTTCAAGGTATCAATTTACCAGACCGGCAAAAAATCAAGTGTTGTTGAAGAGTCATTCTAACGATTCTAAACGATGTTTTGCGGCTGGGAATGGTAGAACCGTCAACTACTTGAGGATTTGATTGGGAAATGGTCATTTGAGGATGGATGGCTATATATTCAGTCTAAGAGAAGTAGTTGGGTTGGGTGAAAATGAACAAAACTAGTCTAGTGCTTTGAGTGTTCTTCTTTACTATGTTATTGTTGTTAGCTGCTTTGTATTCCTTATTTCAATATATGTGCGGTGCTAATGTTTGTAATCAGTATTAAGAGGAAGTATAAAAATGTGAAAGCAATACATGAGTATTGATAGTGTGCTCTATTGAAAATGTGGTACTTGTTGATTGTACTTCTTTTGAAGAGCACTAGTGGATTACATCCTTGTTATGCCTATTAGTATTGAGAGTGGACGTAAACATGGAAATAAAGCCGAACCATTCTATATCTGCTTGCAATATCTTCATCTATTCACTATTGCATTCATATGTTCATTATCATCACCATTTGTTCTTCAACAACACACACACCTAATATCTATAATCCGTTTCTGCTTCTATTTGAAGTTTAACTTGTTATCCTTCGCAAAAGTTTTTCGTTCACATACAATATAGTCACCCCATTCTGAGTTATACTGTTAGCCCTAGCAGGCTTAAGATTCAAATAAAGTATGTCAACATTTGAATTTGAATTTACGTAAAATAAAGACTTTTGAACAGAAATTCTCCTTTTATTGGCCGAAAAGGGAGGACAGAAGAGCTGGCATGTTGGGTTGCCTATCTACGTGTCGTACTCTTTAGTTTAATATAATGACGTGAAATTTCGAGGTGTCATTAGAAGATAGAATGCACCTGTTAATTTCGCTCGAATTCAAAATTATATCTAAAAGAAAAAAGAATGTTACTTGTGTAAATTTTAAAAAGAAAATCATTTTCCAACGAACGATCGTTTTTCCCCTTTGCTTTCGTCTCAACTCCCTCGCCCTTTTTGACTTCTCTCCTCCCCTCTCCTCTCTCTCTCTCTCTCAATTATTGCACTTCATCTCTTTATTTCCCTCACACGTCTCTATCTTATCCTTTCGCTCCCTCTTCCTCTTTGACTTCTCTCCTCCCCTGTCAATTATTACATTTCTCCTCTTCTTTCTCTTTCTCTCTGCTCTCAATTATTCCAAATCCCAGGAAGCCAAGTTGCTCGTCAACATTGTCGATGCTTATCACCACGAAGAGCAAAATTTCTTGTAATAGAGTCGGAAATATCCAAAAACGTCAGCTTTGATCGTTCCTCCAGGAGAAATACCGGCCCTTTGGGAAATTTTCCACCAATTCGTAGGCAAGAAGTACGTCATCAAGAAAATGTTCATTTGCTACAACGTCATCATGTGCGGGACTTAGTGTACTTGGCAAATTCTACGCAAATGAAAAATATTCAAGCAAGATACTTCGAATGTTACCAAAAGTCACGTGAACTCAAAGACTTTCGAGCCTTGAACTTAAATGAACTTATTGAAGTTCTCATGACTTATGAAATCGAATCCAAGTAAAAAAAATCCATTGCATATAAGGATCGACCTCCGACGACGAAGATGATGATGATGATAACAAGGATGTGCCGATGGACTCTCAAAGAAAAAGAAGAATTCAAAAAGGCTTGGGCACACAAAACCTAATTACTCAAAGCTCGAAAAGAAGAAGAAAATCTAAAGAGCTTCAACCTCACAAGCCACTCAATTAACGTTAATTTTTTATGAGAATTATCAAGTGAAAATGTCGTTTTGTTTGAAAATTTATAAAAAGTATTTGAAAAGAGTTTTATAATTAAAGAAAGAGAAATTTAAAAAGCAAAATAATTTGCAAAAAGAGAAACTTGATTGTCTAGGGAAGGAACTTACTTTGGTTAAAACGAACTAAATCTTCTTCAAAAAGGAAAGTGTTTTCTCTTAAGGATGAAATTTTAAAAAATTGCGAAAAACCCTTTTTTTAGATGAAAAACTTAATTTAACTTATTTTTTTACATACAAATTCTCAGTGTACTTGATGTTTTATATCTCCATTTTGTGCTTCATTTCATTCACGCATTATTTATCTCGATAAGGCGAGTTCTATAATTTTACGTAGTTGGTTATTCGAGAAATATCATTTAAGTATATGAAAGTTTGATGCAATTTGGTGGTTTCTGAGATGGGATCAATAGAATAAAACAGATTGATTGATATCTTGCTTTGGAAATAAATAATTCAGATTATTGGACAGCAACTCAAGGATTTTATAAATCTCGTTTTATGCCATGTGCTGCAAAATGAGAATCTTTTTAAAAGGAAATATTATTTGATTGTACGTATGATTAGCATGGTAATCTTTCTTTAAGTGCCCTATCAAGATGAGACAATGAAAAGAATCATTGGGCATTTAGAAAGATATCCTATCTGGATTCTACCAAGAAGAAGGGATCCAAGAACGTGGAAATCGGAAAAGAAATGAATTTATTATCGGTCTTTGTGCGAAGCTTGATTGCAAATCTACGCAAGGATCTCAATTGAAGATTTCTTAAGAGGAAAGGTGTATATTAAATGTCAATTAAATACTATCTTAATTAAGTCTCGACTAAACTAAGCGTATTGGAGAAGAAATTTTCTGGCGTGTGCTCGTCGGTGACGATGATACGCGACGCAGTGATCTATTCCCCGGTCATCGCAGGACCCTGCTCAAATAATATCCTGCGTGTTCGTCACCATCTCCGTTCTTCTGTGATAAGAATGCTCCCAACGACTCGTTTGAGGCTGATGATATGATACGTATAGCTGTAGCGGTTCTCTAGCCCGAGAAGGTATTCTAATTGGTGCCTCAGCGAGGTCATTTTTTGACTCGTTACAAGACCGGGCCATGGCTCTCGTCCTGAAAAAAAAACTCTTCATCCTCTGTTGTCTTGAGAAGTGGGGGGCGAAAGGCTGGATTTTCCGTGCAAAAATTGGAGATGAGCCGCCGGGGAAATTGATCTGTCCGATCAAGCGCCACAACTCCTTTTTGGTTCTAGAGGGAGGCGCTTCCTCGATTGCCCTGGATTTCTTCTTGTCAATTTCAACCCCTCTGTTGTGCACTAAGAACTTCCGGAAGTTTCCTACTGTTATGCCAAATGCACATTTTTACGGATTCATCTTCAAGCTGTGTTCTCGCACTTAAACACTGTCTTAACCCTCCAGATTCTATGATAATCCTTTTTATTTTCTGGATTTAGATTTATTTTGTTATATTTTGGGATTTGTTCTATTTTGATTTGCTTTTCCATGAAAGTTTACTTACTTTTCAATTTATCGTTTTGAGTCATGGATACAAATTTTTTTCAAACCAAAAAAAAAATAAGCTTAATTACGATAAAAAAAAAATCGATGAAGATCTTTACCAAGTTTCACGAAACGGAGTTAATCCGAGTCGTCGGATATTCGAATCTCACTTCTTCTTCTTTTATTTTTTTGCCTTGTCCCGTGGCCTCTCCCGACGGAGACTCCCTCTCTCCTCTCCTATTGGATTTCTGTCGACATCTCTCTCCCTATCACGTCTCTCTATCTTTCTCTGGTCCTCCACTCCATTCTCCATGCTTGACTGCTCTCCTACCCTCTCTCTCGTCTTGTCTCTTCTCTCCCTCTCTCTCTCTCTCAATTATTACGTCTCTTGCCTTGTTCCCCTCTTTGTCTCTCTCTCTCCTCTCAATTATTATAAATCCAGGACACAAGTTGGTCATGGACATCGATGATGCTTGCCACCTCAAAAGAGCATATCCCCTCTCCAATAGCGTCGGATATATCCATAACAGCATCAGCTCTGATCATTCCCCTACAAGAAATGCCAGCCCTTGTGGTGAATTTTCTACCAATTCATAGGCAAGAAGTGAGATTATCAGAGATCGTTTCTTCCCTCAAACAAACGCGTCATTGCTTATAATGTTAGGTAAAGAGCTGTTTCAATCTATTGGCCAAGAACTAGTGATACAAGGGGACAGAAATTGTGAGTATGGGATACGGGGACGAGTGTACATCGCACTTTACCTTAAAAGTACGTCGAAAGGGTTCAACATCATCGTGATAGAATTGCAAAACGATTAGTATTTGCTAACATGCTCCTCAAATTTTGTTAAACCGGTAAGCATTTGCCTCCTGTGATCAAGTTGTACGTGAAGATAAGGTTGGGAAATCTTTTGTGGCCAAGTTGTAGCTGGTGTTATTTTCATTTTTTTTTGGACCATTGAAAAGATACTTCATCGAAAGCAGCACTGATCACGGACAATTCCGTTTCAACCTCAAAATAGAGCTATCTACTCGTCAAACGGAGTTTGTAGTAGGGATGTGCGTCGGTCGGTCCAATCTGGGAATCAGATCAACCAGTCTTGGGCGATTTTTAAGGGGACTGACAGATTGGCCAAAATTTTCTTTTTCTTACTTTGAAGCAAACCCTAATTAGTAAATTATTATTTTTTATTTTAATGTTGGAAACTCCCACTTGTATAGGGAATAGAAGAAATAAAAAAAAATCACCGATTCCGAGATTGACCTTAGAGTCGGATAGGTTGGTCCTATTCCACGACCAAGTCGGTCAGTTTTCGATTCCACAAAATGAAAATCAACCTTATCTAGTCCGGTTTTAAGGTAGGAACCGAACACCCCTAATTTGTAGCATTAGAGATCGTTACAACCGATCTAAATTATCCTGTTCAATCACACATTAGCTCATCAATGGCTTTGCTTAACTCACTTCAATAACATCTCCGAACCCCAAATGTTTATGGCTATAAACGGCCTCATTACGCCCTTTTCTCGAAAAAAAAAATCCGCAAGTATGACTGCATGAGCTATTGTCCTAAATATCTTCCTTTTCGCCGTATATGGAAATACTCCGAGGAACTCTGGTGGACGTCTCTATCCAATTAAACAAACGAAATATCAAGGATAACGATGGAAACACAGAGCAGTCGATCGACACACACCCTTCTACTATCTCGCCCATCCATTAACCTCAAGAGCCAAGCTCAGACTCTCGCCGATAAGCTCGCCCCATCATCTCTATCGATCCGCTTCTCTCTGCCCCGCACCATAGATCCTCACGTCACAAGATACCAAGGTCCGTTCATTTTGCGAAAAACGAATTATTCGAAAAATCAGCCAGCGAAAAATATTTTCACCATCGACAGTAATTCATATCTAAATAATTTTGTTAACGATAAAAATAATTTTCATTTATTGAGTTTTCGTAACTGATATGAGCGATTATTTTTAGGAAAAAAAATATATTCTAAAATTATTTGTTCTTCGCGAAACGACCGCGACTTAAATAGGAACATCAAGAAAATTATGTATCCCTAATTCTTATTTTTCTCTTTTATGATAATCCTAATCCTTGTCCGGAACAAAGATATCAAAATCCTCTCACGATCCCACACGATAATCGATTACTAAAAAATCCATGAATATAATAATCCCAAAATAACATGGACCGATCACGCCGAAGTGGGACCCAGAAAGACAGTGCTGTGGCTAAAGCTCGGCTCCGGCCCTCCGGGCCCACCGCGCCGCTCCGGAAACGCGCCAAGATTCCCCAGGACGGGCACGGCATTCGGGGAAAATATCTCGCGTCCACGTGGCGCGCTCCTACTGGTGCAACTTCACGTGCTCTGTTTTTATGCCGTGCGGTGCGGTGGGTGGTCGCGAGGCGGGGCCCGCCACTGGATTTCCCGATTTCCAGGATAAGATTTTTGGGTTGGTACTTACTTTCGATTCGAGAAAGACAGCTTACGTGGCGTGGGGCCCGCGGGAGGTTGTCCTTTGTCGTGCTCGGTGTCTGTCGGTCGTAGCACGTGCTTGTTTTGTTTGTCTGTTTCTTTCCACTTTAGTTCAGCTTTCGCTGTCTTTTGAATTTTCTTTTCCTTTTCTATCCTATCCTGTTGGATTTTCTGTTGCGACGCCGTCCCGACGGGGCGACGGCGACGGCGACGGCGGCGGCGGCTCCGATATTATTGCAACTTTGCAAAGCTCGGGTGTTAACACTTTGATTCTCGTGTAATTTTCTGATGATATTCTAAAATTCAACTATTTTTTTTATGAAAGGTTTTGGTCGAGTTCGACCGAGCATATAGTAGAAAAAGGAGAGAGAGAGAGAGAGAGAGGGGGAAATGAAAATTCGAGAACTTTTATAAGCTTTTTGAAACTCTTTCGAGAGACCGGGGGGGGGGGGGGGGGGGGGTTGGCGGAACTTCGGGAAAAAAAACCAAAAAAAAAAGTATTAATCTTATTGCATTTGTATTAATTCAGTTCTTAACATTTTAAAGATTTGCCAATGTAGCCAATTCAGTCAATTATGACCGTAAATTACTGTTATAGACGCGCGGTCACCCCACGCGACATGGTCAACATGCTGATACGGACAAAATTTTTAATTTTTTTTATTCTTTTTCTTTTCTTCCCTTTGTTTTTTTTTTCCAATTGTGGGTCAACAAAGTCGGCCATAGGCGAGGGCCTATCTAGGAGAGGGTTCCAACCCTGGCCTATCGATTCGCCCTCGCCCAGCCCAGCCTAGATATGGACGAGGGCTTGACGCCCTCACCCAAACCAGGCTAAGGTCATTGGCCCTCGCTGACCCAGAATTGTAAAAAAAAGAAAAGAAAGAAAGCAAAAAATAAAAAAATAAAAATTCAGAAAATATTAAAATTTTGTTCGTATCAGCGCTTGTCGTGCCAAGTAGCACAACTGTCGTTCATGTCAGTAATTACCAACCAAAATTAGCCGGATGGACTACATTGGCAAATCGTCAAAAGATTTAGGTCTCAATTGGCAAAATTGACAAATTTAGAACTGAATTGGCACAAGTATAATAGATTTACAATTTCTTTTGGTACTTTTCCCAAAAATCATAAAATCTTTCTAATTTTCTATTTTTCCTTTTCTATAATATTCCAAACGGAGAATAAATCCCATATATTTATTTTTTTTCTTCAGAAGAAGTCATTTGGAACAGATATAAAAGAAAAGGAAATATATGGCTTCCATAGGGTGCTCACGTTATAAAATGGTGCGAAAGAAAACTTTGTCCAAAAAAAATTAAAAGAAAATGCAGATAAGAAAACACACAAAAAAAAACTGAAACGAAAACATTTTGATTTCTGACGAGACACATTTTGTTAAAATCGTATTTGACAAGAAAGCTTTTATTGAAGGTTGATAGCTATGGAAAAATCGTAGAAGCACTTCATTTCATCTGCAGAGATGATTATACGAAATATGGCATGTCAAACATTATTCCAACGTTGCTATTTCATCGTACTCGATCAATATCGAAACACTATTGCCGGAAATCACGATAAGAAAGGATGGGCATTGTCGTAAGATTTTTGTATTATCACGTTTCGTTAAATTCGAGAAGGGTATATTATTTAAGGAAAAGAATACGACGAGCCTGTGAAGATTCAAGTGGACGTCTCCATCCGAAGGCGTGGAAAGAGCCCGACAAACTCCAGTGGAACAGCGTCTCTATCCAACTAATCAAACGAACCATTGAAGATAGCTTCGGAGGCACGAAGCAAGTGGATCGGATCGACACTGTTGGTAGTCACAGCTGGGAACACGCCAGTCGTGGTTCAATTAATCAAACGAATTATTGAAGATGACGATGGAGAGACAGATCGTAGCGAAGAGGACGTTAAATAATGGCTTGAAAAGTCATGAAACGATAGCGAACAGGACGTATCGATTCCCGTAAGTCACGACAGTGTTCGTAGTTAGTAGTCACAGCACGGAACACTCTACTTACGACACTGTTAGTAGTCATACCTCGGAAAACGCCGGCCTTGATAATGAAGCTAACGATGGGGGAGAGAGAGAGAGAGTTGTGGACCGTCGAACGGATGCGGTCGGATTAAAATGATCCGACTCAAATTGATCTATTGAACTTGTTTTGATCAATTTTCATGCAATACAAATCTAATAACTCATATCCAATTTAACTCATATCCGATTCAATCCATATTGTTAAAATATTTCTATAGGGAAAATTCATATTCAAATTGAGGTGAAAGCACAGAGTGAGCTAGCACGAGATCGAGCGAGCGCAAGATCGAGTGAAGGCGAAAGAGCATAAAGAGAGACTCATAAAGGTGAATTGGATCTAAGTAAATTGTGAATTCATTTAATATTTATATTATTCTAAATTTTACCATTCTAAACTCATTCATGATTTATTTACTAAATATAACTCATCTATATAATAAGTTAATTTATTAAATATCGATTAAGAAATGGGTATATGACGTATTTACGGTACAAGACGAAAAATGGTTGTTTGAAAAGTCATAGAATGATACTGAGCTGGACGTACTGAGTCCCGCCAGAGAGATCATACATTATATAACTCGGAAAATGGAGAGACGAAGTGATAGATGGGCACACACCCAGTTCAGTCTCGCCACCATTAAGCTTCCAAGCCAAAGCTCCGACTCAAGCTCGCTTCGTCGTCTCTGTCACTTGCCATGGATCCTTACAAGGTACTGGATTGATTCATCCCTTCTGCTTTGATCCTCGATCTTCTTCCATCTTCGCAGCGGCAGGAATAATTTTCCCTTTCGGTTTTCCGATCCGTATAGATCATACCGAGTTTCGTTAATGGAACCGAAATTTTCCGCAATGCTTGTTTCTTTTTTCGCTTCATTTCCTGTTTGGTAAGCAGGGTTCATTAGGTAGTGTATGAGAAGTAGAAGGAGAGTAACCGCCTGTTGGGATGTTCATGCTATGGCTTCTGTTTCGTTGATTTATCTTATCGATAGCATGCGAAACTCATCGAATGTTGATGTATTTTTGCTGCCGACTGTGGATGTCGCAGCATCGTCCGTCGAGCGCTTACGATTCCAGCTTCTGGACAACCAACGCCGGTATTCCTGTCTGGAACAATGACTCCTCGCTGACTATTGGAACTAGAGGTACTATCACCATTACGGATCTCTGAGTCGTTTTCTTCACTAAAAAATTATGATAATTCACGCACGTCTTGCATGCAGAGATGGTTACTTGCACTTGAAGTGGAATATTTCTTTCGTTGCCTTTCTGTTTTGCTTTATCAGTGTGATTAATACATGGTTTGTGGTCTTTTTGTTCTTGATATGATCATTTGAGTACGTTCTTATAGAAAATGTGCAAGAGTCTCTCGACTGCATGAATGGGTTCTTTTTACTTTTGTGTTTTGTTGAGGTCAAGGTGTTTGCTGCAGTCCTGTGTACACTCCTTCAACGGATCTTGAATTTTTGGGTTTTGCAACACTTTAAATATGAAAGTATAGATCTATAGTTTTTCGCTCTCGAGTTCTTCAGCAGCTTATAACGTAAAAGGAAGCATGTTGTAGTTTTCTTTTTTTTGATAATCTAGAGGCAGTCGTAGAGACTCGACTACCTACCCTGAAAGCGAACTGTTTATGTGATGGCCTTTTTTGGCCCGTGCCGTGGCCGCGACCCACGACAGGATAATGTTCTAGTTGTCTTAGCTCATCACAGAAGTATATTTTTTTGGTTCTTCTTGCGCTATACGAACATCGCAGTGAAGACACACAGCTGACAACATCTAAGATTGCGTTTATTTTACAAAAATAAATAATTTAAAAAATATTTTCTAAAAAATCTCACTCGTATCTCTTATAAAAATAATAAACGAAATTTTTTTTATCGTTTACGAAAATAGTTAAACATGAATTATTATCGATAAAGAAAATATTTTTCATTAACTAATTATTTTAAGTTATATAAACGATCGTTTTTTGAAAAATATTTTTTAGATTATTCATTCTTCGCGAAATAAACACATCCTAACCTAAGAGAAATTTTTCTTTAATTTACAGGTCCGATCCTCCTCGAGGATTATCATCTGGTGGAGAAACTCGCCACTTTTGAGAGAGAGAGAATTCCTGAGCGGGTGGTCCATGCACGGGGAGCTAGTGCAAAAGGGTTCTTCGAGGTCACCCACGACATCTCTCATTTGACATGTGCTGATTTCCTTCGTGCTCCTGGAGTTCAGACACCTGTTATTGTCCGTTTCTCCACTGTCATCCATGAGCGCGGCAGCCCTGAAACCCTTAGGGACCCTCGAGGTTTTGCTGTGAAGTTTTACACCAGAGAGGTATGAGATGATCACGAGCTTTGGAATCTGCAGATCTATTTTTATTTAACTATCCAGATACTGTGCTTGAAATTTGTGATTCTGCAGTATCTTGGGCGTGGATGCTCTAAGTCTATTATGCAGTTCTTAACCATGTGATAATGGGTTTTATTTTGACACTTCGACATCACTAGATGAAGATGACTTTATTAAAGGGCTGTAATAGAAATGCAACAAGTAGTATCTGTTCACGTAATTGCGTTATCTCGCGTTTCTCTTCTTTTATTTCACCATTCGTGTTTTATTTTCTGAATGCAGGGAAACTTTGATCTGGTGGGGAACAATTTCCCTGTCTTCTTTGTTCGCGATGCAATGAAATTCCCGGACGCGATCCATGCTTTTAAACCCAACCCGAAGTCTAACATCCAGGAGAACTGGAGGATAATTGACTTCTTCTCCCACCAGCCTGAGAGTTTGTCCACGTTTGCGTGGTTCTATGATGATGTTGGTATTCCTCAGGACTACAGGCACATGGAAGGATTTGGGGTCCATGCTTTTACCTTTTTCAACAAGGCTGGACAGTCGCACTACGTGAAATTTCACTGGAAACCAACTTGTGGGGTGAAGAATTTGCTGGAGGAGGAGGCGATTCGTGTTGGAGGATCAAATCACAGTCATGCGACTAAGGATCTTTATGACTCGATAGCTGCTGGCAACTACCCTGAGTGGAAACTCTACATCCAAGTAATGGATCCTGCAGATGAAGACAGTTTTGACTTCGATCCACTTGATATGACAAAAATATGGCCCGAGGACATCTTGCCTCTGCAACTAGTAGGCCGCTTGGTGTTGAATAAGAACATCGATAGCTTCTTTAATGAAAACGAACAGCTTGCATTTAACCCTGCATATGTGGTCCCCGGTATCTATTTCTCTGATGATAAGCTTCTCCAAGCTCGGATTTTCGCCTATTCTGATACTCAGAGGTATCGCCTTGGACCAAACTACCTTCAACTCCCTGTTAATGCTCCCAAGTGTGCTCATCACAACAATCACTGGGATGGTTTCATGAATTTCATGCACAGGGATGAAGAGGTAATGATCTTTCTGTTTTCTCAATTAACGGGCTGAGGATGAACATGCCTCTAGCATGACCTAATAACATAATTCTTGCTGGTTGTACAGAGAATTGAAATGGCTATAGTAGTCTATTGATGCAACACTCGACTCGAATCAGCTTGTTTTTTGATAAAAAGGAAGAACTAACGATGTGATTTATTCATGATGCTGATTTGCAGGTAAATTATTTCCCTTCAAAATTTGATCCTGTTCGCCATGCAGAAAGGTTCCCAATACCGACTCGAGTCTTGACTGGAAAGCGAGAAAAGGTGAGTTTCTGGACTCTATGCATTTATATCAGAATTGACTCTTAAAACGGGAATTGTATGCATGGTATTACCACATCTATTTTGTGTCGATGATTGAGGGCGGGGCTCGGTAAAGGTTAAAGCAGTTCAGACTCGGCAGAGAATGCCAGAAGATATAAATACACACTTGCGCTAAACGCATTAATAATAATGGTTAATCTGTGGCAAGTTGGAAGGCATTGACTCTTAAAACATGTTCCAGCAACCAGGATACCGAGTAAGAACGGGAATTGTATGCATGGTATTACTACATCTATTTTGTGTCGATGATTGAGGGCGGGCTCGGTAAAAGTTACAGCAGTTCAGACTCGGCAGAGAATGCCAGAGGAAATAATTACACACTTGCGGTAAACGCATCAATAATAATGGTTAATCTGTGGCAAGTTGAAAGGCATTGCGGTAGTGGTGCTTCTGTTTGGACTTTAGATAAAATTGATGTAACTCAATTTCTGGTGTGCTGTTATGAAGATTATGGTGATATGATCTTAGGCATTTTCTTGTGCTAGTTTGTTATGTCCAACCCTTTACTATTGCCGCATTATCGAAATGGAGGGGGAGTTTAGTAATACCGCTAAATTTTCAGATTAAAGCTAAAAACTTACAAATGAGGAAGGGAATAAGTTAAAAACTAGAGAAGAGAAGTTAATGTTTTTGTGGCTAGAAAAATGTAGTCCTCGGGGTTTGCCTTGGATTGGATATTTATGCTGCTTGTATTCATCTATTTGTGAACTTATTGGTTATGCAGTGCATTATTGAGAAGGAGAACAACTTCAAGCAGCCAGGAGAGAGATACCGATCCTGGGAACCGGACAGGTACCTTTCAACCATTGTTTCCTGAGTAGACGCGTAATTTATCGGTCACTCAATGTCTTTCAACTTTGTTGCCAGGCAAGACCGTTTCATCAGCCGCTGGATCAAGGCATTGTCCGACCCCCGTGTTACCCACGAGCATCGCTCCATCTGGATCTCTTACTGGACTCAGGTGAGCTATAACTATTCGCCCGATTCGCTTTATAACTATTCGCCAGATTCGCTAGCTTCCTCCCATACTCAACGATGGTATACTGATGGCCTATGATGCATATCCTTGCTGCAGGCTGACAAATCGCTCGGCCAGAAGCTAGCTTCTCGTCTCAGTGCGCGACCGAGCATGTGAACGTGATGAGGGGGCCGATTCCAGCACGAGCGTGCGAATGCGGAGCTGGAAGAAGCATGAAAAGCTAAGTGTTGGCATGTCTGTTTGCTGTGCTATGCTGTAATACATACTAAGAGGTATCTTGTGTGGGAATGCTTGTAAATTGCTGCTTTGGAAGGAGCATAAAAGCTTTTTAAGTGCAGGCATGTTTGTCTGCCGTTCTGTACTCTTTTACCTGATGTTTCTACTCCAATAAAGGCCTGCCATTTTACTATGCTCTACCTTACTGCCTATGAACTTCAATTTTCATTATAGCAGCATGCCTCTCCCTGTTCATGGAACGATTGCTTCGTTGTTCTGTCAATTATAGCAGAAAATTCTTTCTTTCCAGAAATCTTCGCTCAATTCAAATGTTGACGTGTACATTAGTGCATAATTCTTTTTAGTATACTCTAAAATTCGAATAATACTTTTAATTTTGACCGAAAATTAAGCGTGAGGGATTAAAAGAATTTTGACTTTTAATAATACGTACATTAGTGCACTAATTTTGACCGAAAAATTTCGAGAAGAGATCATAAAATTTCGGAATTTTTGTGCCAGATTGGGGGAGGGAAATTTGAAACTTTTTTTTTATTTTATTTCGGTGTTCTGCTTTTTTTATGATGTTACGAACCCTTTTTTTCTGAAGCCCATTTGATTAATCTCTCTCTTTTTCGAAAAAGAGAAAATCGTTTAGAACAGATACGAAAGAAAAGGAAATATTATAGAGTTTGGAACGGCTTTCACGTCGTTAAAAAAGGCGCAATCTCGAAATTAAAAGGAAACATTTTCACTATGGCGATGTTTTGGCAGCATCATACTCGATTAAGGAAGGTTTCATCGAGAAGGTTCCGCATGTTATCTTAATGTAATTTCAACAGTTACCGAAGGATAATAGATATTTTACTATATTCGGAAAGGATAACTATAGAAAAACATATCGTGCTATAATCATTATTTTCATTTCGACCAAAAAAAGAGAAAAGAAAAAATCATTATTTTCATAATTAGAAAAAAATTGAAGATAACGATGAGCAGTAAGAGAGAGAGAGAGGGAGAGAGAGTTATATACGACTCGTAAATGGAGACGACGGAGTAGTTTGATCGGCACACGCCCCCCTCGAAGTCGCCATCGTTAGCCTCGAAGCCGATCTCGGAACCGTCGCCTCGGCCGTCGCCGCCGCCGCCGCCGTCTCCCGCCATGGACCCGTACAAGGTACCCGACGATCCCGCCTTCTCCTCTTTCTCCCGCCTCGATCGTGCCGATCGTCGCGCTGATCGAACCGGAATTTCGCCGCCGCGGCTTTTTAGTTTCCCGCGTTTTTTCCTTTTGCCCTCCTCCCTGTCTGCAAGCTCGATTCGTGTTCTGGTTTTCCGAGAATTAAGGAAGAAGAGTGGTCTCTGTGGGGACTATGAATTAGGGATTTTGTTCGTGCTTAGGGGATCTGTTTCGTTGATCAGTCCGATCTTTTTATCTATCGATGGCGTGCGACCGTTGCGCAAAACGTTGATTCTTTTTCTCGCTGCGAATTTTTGGATTTTCGCAGTATCGTCCGTCGAGCGCTCACGATTCCAGCTTCTGGACGACCAACTCCGGTGCTCCTGTTTGGAACAACAACTCGTCCCTGACCGTTGGAACCAGAGGTACGATTACCATTACGGATCTCACGGTCGTGTTCTTTTCCCAAAAATATGGTAATTCTATGCTAACCGTGCGTGTATGGGTAGTACTTTGCGCTTGAAGGGGGATTGGTTTCTCTTTTCTCGTTGAACTGTGATGAATTCATGGTTTGTGGTCTTTTTAGCATTGATTTTTAATTATTCGAGCACGTTATTATAGAAAAAATGCAAACTTTTGTGTCTTGTAAGCGTGCGCGGTTAACTCTGGACATTTTATTTTGTTTCTTTGGGTCTGCAGTTAATTTGCTATAGAGTGTCTCGACTGCATCAATTGTTCTTTTTATTTTTGTGTTTGTTTTTTTTTTTTGGTGAAGTCAAGGTGTTTGCTGCAGTGCTGTATACTCTACTCCAATGAATCTAAGTTTTTTACACTTTAAATTAAGGTTTAATTATGTAATTTTTCTCTTTTGAGTTCTTCAGCAGCGTATAACAGAAAGGAAACATATTATGTGATCATTTTCATTTCTAGGGCAACAAGCAGTTTGGCGAAAATGACTCTTTCCTTTCGGCTGTGTTCAGTTTTTCCGGCTGTACTTTTGTTTTCTATTATAGTTATTATTACCATTGAGAAACACTATTGGCATTCTTAGAAAGGCACCATCTTTCTCTATTCAACGTAAATGACTGTACATAGAAGAATGAGGTGCAATTGCTCCTAAGGGTTATGGCGTGGGCAATTGCTAGGCCCAGCATTTTTTGCATTCTTGCTGATACAAGACTCTGCTTTTTCAGCTTTATTTTTTCATTTACACTCCCCTCCCCCCCCCCAAAAAAAAAAAAAAGCCCAAGTGTCATGGCGCATGAGTGGCATACAAGATTTTGCTAGGGTCCATGTAAACCTTGAGGCCTAGATGTGATCAAGCTAACAATGCATAGAAAAATATGCTAGAAAATGCAGTAGTTTTTACAGAGACACTGTCGTGGACACTCAGCTACCTGCCCTGCAAGTGAACCGGTTAAGTGCAGGCCTCTTTGGCCTATGTATGTGTCCCCCACCCAGAACGGAAAAATGTTTTAGTTATTTTGCTCATCGCAGAAGCATCTTTTTTGTTCTCCTTGTGCCTTCTGAACATCTTTTTTCAAGACACAAAGCTTAACAGCTTCTAAAGGAAATTTTCTTTTATTTACAGGTCCAATTCTCCTCGAGGATTATCATCTGGTGGAGAAACTTGCCAATTTTGATAGAGAGAGGATTCCTGAGCGGGTGGTCCATGCCAGGGGAGCTAGTGCAAAAGGATTTTTCGAGGTCACTCACGATATCTCTCAGTTGACATGTGCTGATTTTCTTCGAGCTACTGGAGTTCAGACACCTGTTATTGTCCGTTTCTCCACTGTCATCCATGAGCGTGGCAGCCCTGAAACTCTTAGGGATCCTCGAGGTTTTGCAGTGAAGTTTTACACCAGAGAGGTATGAAATGATTACATGCTTTAGAATCTGCAAATTTATTGTTTTCAACTTTCTTTTTTTTTGCCTGAAGTGTATTTAGTTTACTGACTATCCAGATACTGTACTTGGCATTTGGAATTCGGCTGAGTGTTGGTGTCTATGCTCTAAATCTATGCAGTTTTTCACCATGTGATGATGAATTTTATTTTGACACTTCAACATGACTAGTTGAAGATGACTTTATCAAGGAGCTGTCATAAACCTTTATTTTAGGCTCCATTTGTTTCGCGGAAAATGGATGATTTGGAAAACATTTTTCTAAAACTGATTGCTTATATTGCTTGAAATAATTATTCAACAAGAAATGTTTTCATTATCGACAATAATTTATATCTCGATTTTTTCGTAGACTATGAAAATATTTTTCGTTTGTTCATTTTTGTATTCAATACAAGCGATCATTTTTAGGAAAATGTTTTCCAAATCATTTATTTTCCGCGAAACAAACGGAGCCTAAAAGAGAAGTCAGAACATCAAAATAGAATAAGTAGTGCCTCTTCATGTAATTGCATGGTTTCGCATTTCTCCTTTTCTTTGACCATTCGTTTTTTCTGAATGCAGGGAAACTTTGATCTGGTGGGAAACAATTTCCCTGTCTTCTTTGTTCGCGATGGAATGAAATTTCCAGACATGGTCCATGCTCTTAAACCCAACCCGAAGTCTCACATCCAGGAGCACTGGAGAATAGTTGACTTCTTCTCCCACCATCCTGAGAGTTTGCACATGTTTTCCTTTCTCTTCGATGATGTTGGTGTTCCTCAAGACTACAGACACATGGAAGGATTTGGGGTTAATACTTACACCTTAATTAACAAGTCTGGGAAGGCACATTATGTGAAATTTCACTGGAAACCAACTTGTGGAGTGAAGTGTTTGCTGGAGGAGGAGGCAATTCGTGTTGGAGGATCAAATCACAGTCATGCAACTAAGGATCTTTATGACTCGATTGCTGCCGGCAATTACCCAGAGTGGAAACTCTACATCCAAATAATAGATCCTGATCATGAAGATAGATTTGACTTCGATCCACTTGATGTAACAAAAATATGGCCTGAGGACATTGTGCCTCTGCAACCAGTAGGCCGCATGGTGTTGAATAAGAACATCGATAACTTCTTTGCAGAAAATGAACAGCTAGCATTTTGCCCTGCTATTGTGGTCCCTGGTATCTATTACTCTGATGATAAGCTTCTCCAAACTCGGATTTTCTCCTATGCTGATACTCAGAGACACCGCCTTGGACCAAACTATCTTCAACTCCCTGTTAATGCTCCCAAGTGCGCTCATCACAACAATCACCATGAAGGTTTTATGAATTTCATGCACAGGGATGAAGAGGTAATGATCTTTAATTTCTGTTTACTCAATAACGGGCTGAGAATGAACATGTCACAAGCATGACCTTATAACATATTTTTAGCTCGTTGTACAGAGAATTGAATTGGCTACAGTAGCCTATCGGTATAACACACCCAGTTGAATCAGTTTGTTTTTTCTAAAATGAAGAACTAATGATGTGGTGTATCCTTGATGCTGATTTGTAGGTAAATTATTTCCCTTCAAGGTTTGATCCTGTACGTCATGCAGAAAGGTTTCCCATACCTCCTACAGTCTTGAATGGAAAGCGAGATAGGGTAAGTTTCTGGACTCACCCTGTCAATTTATATCAACTTTGAGTCTTAAAACATGTTCCAGCCTCTTGGAGAAATAATTACACACTTGCAGTTAAGTCATGCATTACTATGGTTAATCTGTGGTAAATTGAAAGGCATTGTGGTAATGGTGTTTCTGTTTGGACTTTAAATAAAATTGATTTAATTCAAATTCTGGTGTGCTGTTGTGATGATCATTGCATTTTCTTCTGGTAGTCTGTCATGTACAACATTGCCTTTGAGATTGTCTCCACCTGTCCTCAGTGCAATGATGACTCTTTACTACGACCACATTGCCGAAATGAGGGGGAGTGTAGTAGCACCACTAAATTTTCAGACTAAGCTTAAAACTAAGAAATGAGGAAGGAACATGTTATAACTAGAAAAGAGATTCTCTGGCTAGAAAAATGTAGTTCTCAGGGTTTGCCTTGGATTGGATATCTCTGCTGCTGGTATTCATCTATATGTGCACTTACTGGTTATGCAGTGCATTATTGAGAAGGAGAACAACTTCAAGCAACCGGGAGAGAGATACCGATCCTGGGCACCGGACAGGTACCTTTCGGCCATTGTCTCCTGAGTATATGTGTAATTTACTGTTCACTCAATGTGTTTCAACTTTGTCACCAGGCAAGAGCGGTTTATTTGCCGCTGGGTTGAGGCATTATCTGACCCCCGGGTTACCCATGAACTCCGCTCCATCTGGATCTCTTACTGGACTCGGGTGAGCTTTAACTATTTGCCCATTTTGGTTTATCCAATGCTACCGAAATTTGTTGAGCTTTACCTGGATATTGAGAACGTCTGTCTAGAACATGCTCAAACGATGATATGCTGATTGCTGATGGCTTTTGATGCATCTTTTCGACAGGCTGACAAAGTGCTTGGTCAGAAGCTAGCTTCTCGTCTCAATGCGAGGCCAAGTATGTGAAAGCGAAGGGGGGTGATTCGACTTTTGAAGGAGCATAAAAACTGAAGTGTTAGCATGTTTGTTTGCTGTGCTATACTGTAATACTAGAGGAGAACTTGTCATGCAACTCTTTGATCAGATGTTTCTAATTCAATAAAGGCTCTGCTGTTTTACTTGGTAGCTCGTTGCCTATGAACTTCAATTTCTTGGCAACATGTCTCTCCCTCTTCGTTGAATGATTGCTTCCTTAATTTGTCAATTAGAAGGGAAACTGCTGAATCTTCGACATCGTCATCATATGATTCATGGGCTTCTTTAAGGAGGTATCAAAATATTCTATGCATGCTTGGGCGATTCTAGAGTATATATGTGTAAAATTATACTTTGCCTAATCAATAAACAAGTAAGAAGAAGAAGTAAAGAGAGAGACGTTTCGTGATAGTGATGGGCAACTTTCTTTAAGCGTGAAATCTGATCTTACACTTGGTTGGACTGGTAATGATCATGAGCATGAGGTAATTAGCCGTGGCCCTGTGGGATGCTAACTTCTTCTTTGTTAGGTTTCATTTGTTTCGCGAAAAATGATTGCAAATATTTTTCTAAAAATGATCATTTTTATTGCTTACAAAAAAGAATGAACAAAAATATTTTCACTGTTTACGAAAATATTTAGACATAAATTGTTGTCAGTAATGAAACATTTTCATTGACTAATTATTTTAAGTGATACAAACGATTATTTTTAAAAAAATATTTTTCAAATGCCTATTTTTCGCGAAATAAACATAGCATTAATATGTATGGATTGTCCCCAAAAACATCCTTATGCATTAAAATGTCAATTTCATGGAAGGCCCACTTTACATGCTATTCACTAGGGGTGAGCATGGTTCCCGGTTCTACCCTAGAACCTGAGAACCCTGTAGGTTTCAGGTTCCAAGGTATGCAAAGTATGTTACAGATTTCAAAAATTGGGGAACCTGTTTCGACGGTAAGTTCCAGGTTCTAGGTAGGTAGAACCTGAAACCTGAAATCTAAACAAGTTTTTTGTGTTTTTTCTTGATCTATATCTTTACGTGATCCTATGGTGTTTCATGTCGTTAGATAGTGAGTATATAATCTAAAACTATTAGTCTGAACTTTCATTTCATGACTTGTTAATATTTCATATTTTTCGTGTGTCTAAATATAAGTTATCGTCAGTGAATCATAGCTACAAATTGCGATCATTAAAAGTGATGATTCATTGCAATTGTTCAATTAATAATACATGTGGAACCTAGGTAGATCTTAGAACCGACCTGGAACCTATCATAGGGTAGGTTTCAGATTCCAAAAAATAAGAACCTATTCTCATGGGTAGGTTTTAGGTGGAACTTGTATGGTACATGGAACCATTCACCCCTAGTATCGATTCACGCAGTGATTTTTCATTTTAATTGTATTTATTGGAATCATAATGCCAGAAAAACTAGTCTTTTGTATTCTGTTTGGTGAATAACAAGCTTGTTCAGTATTGTTGCGTTCATTTTCGTTTTGTTTAACTAAAAATGAAATTTTAAAAAAAGAACATTTTAGACCCCGGAACCTATGACAGGGTAGGTTCCATGTTCCGATGGATAAGTTTCAGATTCCAAAAAATGAGGAACCTGTACCCGAGGGTAAATTTCATGTTCCAAGTTAAACCTGTAAGGAACTTGAAACCGCTTACCTTTACTATTCACCACTCTCTTCTCTTCTACCTTGAGTATGATTGGCAATTCGTGTTCAGAGGTCGATTTGTGTGATGTCAGTATAAGGACCCAATCAAAACATGAGCTAATCGTGTCGACCTACATGACGCAAATACCTCCCGAATGTTAATGGATTGATAATGCTAGCTTCGTGCCCTTCGAAGATCTCGTGTTCACGTGTCATGTCCGTATAAATATCCTTCGCTTGTCCGAGCTGAATACCCGATTTTAAGGATAAGGATACATGAGCTCATGACGACCTCTATTATTACTTCACCTATTATCTCCTTTTTAAATTTTTATTTTTCTTCTTCCATATAAAAACTAGCTTACATGATCCGTCTCATCCTGTTGCAACCAAGACGTTTGTGAAATTAAGGGTTCATTTGTTTCGCGAAAAATATTTTTTACATTTGGTTTGCCTAGAAAAATCAGTCGACGAAAAATATTTTCCTAGTCAATAAAAAAGGTTTTCCTATTAAAGCTCAAAATTCAGGAAAATGATTTCCTTTTTAAAAGAATCGGAAAATGTTTTCCGAAATAACTTGAACCCAAAACTCTACGCTTAGGTACAGAAACTCTAACATTAGTTCCCGTGTCCCTTGCATTCAGGATTAGGTCTCTGACGACAGGGCCCCGGTCCATCGAGGCTAGGCCTGGGACCATGGTGCTCCGGCCTATGCCCCCGACACTCACACCAGGACTCGTGAGGCGGGGCCTGAACCCCTAATGGCCGTACCCAATGCTCTGGCACCTGATCTCAGGTCCATAAAGGCCATGCTTGGTCCTCGACGCTCGAGCTCTAGTCCCAACCCTTAGGCCTGGGTCCACAAAGACCGTGTGCGAGTCCTCGGCGCTCAGGCTTGGGTCCTTGGTTAATAATATTATTCCTTTAAAAAAATTGAAATTTTAATTATTTTTATTTTTTTAAAATCTAATTATTTTATTTTATTTTATTCTTTCTTTCTTTTTCTTTTTTTCTTCTTTCTTTTTCTTTTCTCTTTTCTCTATTTTCCTTCCTTCGCCGACCGCGTGCATTGGCGACGGCCGATAAGCCCGGCAATCGGCCAAGACGCAGGCCGACGAGCTCGAGGCTTAGCCAATCCAAGTGAGCCCAAGCTCGCAGCTCGCCAGATCCAAGCAAGCTCAAGCTCAGCCGAGGCCGGCGAGCTCGAGCTCGCCTGTGGCTGTCGCCAACCGGTTGCGGTGGAGGAAGGAGAAAAAAGGAAAGGAAAGAAAAGAAAAAAAGAAAATTTAAAAATAATTAAAAGCTATTTATAAAAAAAATAAAAATTCAAAATTTTTAAAAAATAATAAAAAAAAATCATTAAAAAAATCGGATTTCTTTTTGCTTGAGATAAAGTTATGAGATTGAAATCATTTTCCAATAAAATTCAAACATTAGAAAACGGTTTCGATCATAGGAAAACTAATTATATTCCGAAAAAATACTTTCCGAAAAAGTATTTTCCTTTATTATTGGGAAAAAGCTAACGGGCGATCGAGAAGTGCCACGTCGGTATATAAGAGAGGCCCGCGCTCTCCAGAAATTTTGAATTTTCTTATCCTTCTTTCTTTCTTTCTTCTACCGTTGGCTGTGTCTCTAGGTTTCATCTCCATGCACTCTGCAAATCAACCACTGAATAACTGAATTTCTGGGGCACGAAGGTTGATTTGCCGAAGCGGAGGCTCCGCCTTCGCCCGAGGAGGATTCATCGTGCCCGTGCCCGGTGCAGGTTCCGATCGCCGGCAGTCGCCGCCGTCGGCCTCGCCCCTCCCGTGCGCTCCGCCCCCACCCCCCCCCCCCCCCCTTGCTCGGTTAAATCCATGGGCGGCGCGCGGACCTCGCCGCCGAACATCGCGCCCTCGCGGATCAGACCGGCGCGCCGGAAGACGTGGTCGCAGTCCCGGAGGGAGATTTCCGCCGGGTCGAATCGCAGCCCGGGGTCGCCGTCGCATCCCTTGACGGTCGGAGTCCGTTGCTGCCGGTTCCTTCCGGACGAGCTTCTTGCTCGGGTCGTCGCTGATGGTGGAGGAAGAAGAAGAAGAAGAAGAAGAAGAAGAAGAAGAAAAAGAAAGCGAGAGCAGAGAGAGAGAGAGAGTAAAGGGTGGAGAACAGGAAAAAGGAGAAGAATATTTTATGCATTGTTGGTGTCCGCGCGAAGTCATGGCACTGTTCGTAGTCATGGAAATGGAGAGGCGAATTGACGCACGCCTCTCGGTCTCGCGCCATCATTAACTTCGAAGCGAAGCTCTGACTCTCGCAGGTAAGCTCGCTTGTCGATCCGCTTCCCTCCGTCTCGCGCCATGGATCCGTACAAGGTATCTCGATTCATCTTTTTCTGCTTCGGTCGTTGAACCTCGATCTTCGCAGTGGCGGAGTGAGTTCGTTTTTTTTTTTTCCTTTCGTTTCCCGATCGGTGTTGATCATGCTGATTCTCGTCAATCGAACCGAAATTTCCGCGGCGCTTGTTTTCTCTCTCTTCATTTCCCGTTTGTGAAGCTGTATTCGTTTTGTAGTTTCTGAGAAGTAGGAGAGGAATGCTCTCTGTTGCGATACGAATTTAGGAATTGTTCATGCTATGGCTCTTTTGATCTTAACAATTGCGTGCGGCCTAGCAAATTGTTGATGTTTTTGCTGGGAAATTGTGGATGTCGCAGTATCGTCCGTCGAGCGCCTACGATTCCAGCTTTTGGACAACCAACTCCGGTGCTCCTGTGTGGAACAATAACTCATCACTGACTGTTGGAACTAGAGGTACCACAATTGATGTCGGAGTAGTTTTCTTTACCAAAGATATGATAGTTCTATGCTAGTCGTTCGTCCATGGATAGTACTTGCACTTGAGGGTGGGAATTGGTTTCCTTTTTGTTGGAACTTTTGTTGACCTTCCGTTTTCGCTCTATCCGTGTGATTAATACATGGTTTGTGGTTTTATTATAGTCTTGAGTTAATCATTTGAGTAAGGCAAACTTTTATGTCCTGTAAGTGCTAAACCATTGAACATTTTGACTGACTGCACGGTTAGCTCTGGACATTTTATCTTGTTTCTTTAAGTTTGCAGTTAATGGGCTAGAGTATCTTGACTGCATCAATTGGTTCTTTTTATTTTTTGTGTTTTGATGAGGTCAAGGTGTTTACTGCGGTCCTGTATATATTCCTTCAACGAATCTAAAATTTTAGGTTTTTAACAGAAAGTCTATAATCTAATCTGTGAGTCTATAATCTTTCTCTTTTGAGTTCTTTAGCACCTTATAACAGCATGGAAACATATCATGTGATCATTTTCATTTTTGTCTAAGAAATGGGCGACAAGAAGCAGTTTGGGAGAATTTGATTTGTTTCTTCCCTTTCCACTAGACAGTTCTTCTGGCTGTACTTTAGTTTACTGCTATAGTAATTATTACCTTTGAGAAACACTATAGGCATTCTTAGAAAGGCACCATC